GATAGTTAAAGGAAAATTAAGCGTTAGTTTGTAATGTATAAATTACAATTAAGTTATACCGCCAACTCCATAAATGTTAATCGGATACGAGATATAAAACAAAACATCACACAAATATAATTACTTAGAAGTATCTAATATAAAAATTCACTTTTTGTGTTCATATATAAAACTGTGTAGTGGTTTATTAAAAATATTAATTGAATTTTATATAACATAATGAAAAAAATCTTCACGAGGTAATTTGTCATACTAAAATATTAAATATTGATTACGCCATACTTAAGGCCAATATAGGTCTTTTCTTTACACAGTATAAAATGGACTCGCTTCCACTGTCTGTTCGCTTAGATCTTTTAAATGCACTTTAAGATTTTAATGCAGTTTTTAGCAATAGATAGAGCGATTCAAGGGGAAGGTTTATATGTATAATACATGTACACCCGTGTGATGCCGGGGCGGGTGGCTAGTTATAAATGAATACTTACCTATATGAAGTATTGTCCATTCAAGTCCATTCAAGTGACGGTTGACGAAACAATAGAGGCACAGTGCGTGGCCGACGGTTGGTGACTTCTGACCTTCTGCACTGGTTGAGCACACCTGCCCGATATCTTGTCAAATTATTATCCAAATTAAAAAAGAGGAATATTCACTTACCTATTTAATATAAATATTTAATTTAATGTATATGCCAAATAATTTCAAATTTAGAATCTGAAAATGAAATATCAGTTAGATTCTAAATTTAAAATTTAACTTGGGACTAAATGGCACTGCGTGAATTGTCTTAGGTTATTATTATTATTCAAACTCAAAAAGCTAAAATATGAGCAATCGAGGCACCCACGCAGACACAGTCTACGTTTTAAATTTAGAATCTAAATGAAATGTCAATTAGATTCTAAATTTAAAATCATACGATCTTTTTCCTATGCAAATTGTCTGCATATTATACAATAAAGAGTTTGAATAATAATAATAAGCCAAGACTATTCACTCAGCGTCATTTAGTCCCAAGTTAAGCAGAGCATGTGTTATGGGTACTAGACAACAGATGTAAATACTTAGATATATTATTATGCACTTACAACCTAATAGTTTCGACAAACGAAATTTATAAACTCACTGACTGTGCCCGTGGCTTCACGCGTGAAATTTATAGCCTAGTGTATTCTGATGTATAAGCTATATTATTGTAAAGTTTTATTAAAATCCAATCAGTAGTTTTTGCGTGAAATAATAACAAACATCCATCCATCCACACTCACGTAACATGGTTAAAACATTGTTTAACTTTATCATAAATCAAAGCTACACTAAAAAAATAAACACGATGACTTTTGATGATTACAAAATTGCACCCCCGCGGAACTCCGCATCGATAAAATCAACCCCACACCTGGTTAAGGGCTGTCACTGACGGAATGTCGTCCTGTGCAATCACTGCGTCACACTCCACTGAGCGCACAGTCGGCCACTGTGACACCGGTGCGTTGGCAACCCTATTCTTCATATTTGATTATGATTAATAGATATAATGATTTTGTAGTTCATATATCAATGTTGTTTATATTTAAACAACACTATAAGATACTAGTTTGTACCCATGGCATGATCTGTTTGACCAATAGCTAAATTGGTCGAGAGAAAACTACGTACTTAACTGGTTGCAATGTTGTCCGATAATTGTTTGGTAAGAACAAATTTTGGGGAGATAGTCCTCTAAGTTTTGTCAAAAATACCTCTAAAATCTGTTTTTGTCTAATTACATATCTACTCTGATTTGTGTTCGCGACAACCGAATAACGATTGTCTTTTGTTTCTGTTCTTCAATATTTGTTACACAAGTGATTATATCGACATAATAATAGAAATTAAAACTTTATTTAGAATTTTGGTGTTTTATAATTGTTTTCAACGATTACATCCACGAACCTCGTTGAGATTCACAACCCTTGCACTTCTGTTCTATTTTTAAATCTGCGACTGTGGCTACTGTGTGCCACTTTCTTGCACTACGGAAGTGACGTCAACATTCGCAGATTTAAAAATGGAATTAATTCTCTTACACAAATAAATGTAATGTTTCTTGCACTTGTTCTATTTTTAAATCTGCGACAATAGATATAACTTGCACTATAAATTAGTGCATGGAAGTGACGTTAACAGTAGCAAATTTAAAAATGGATTTATTTCTGTTACACATAATTAGTAACAAATAAAACAATAATTAAATCACACCTGAACGTTAATTAGCGTCTAATAAAGCTTCGGTTACAAATAGCCTGCAGTTCCCACGCGTGGGACATTGTACAAAATCACGGATCGCGTGTTCGGAGCACCTGTTATAGCGCACGAGGCGTTCCCTTCTCACAATGGCTATTTACCAGTAGGTACCAGACCACAAAAAATCGTCTACATGGGTACCTTAGTCGCCAAGCAGCTTGCTTTGTAAGCTGAATTTCTATATACACTTTAGGCAGTAAAATTTGAGTATATGCATGCCATCTTTGTCTTCTGGAATGGCAACGTATGAGTGGGTTCACGGTTGTCACTATGAGAACGTGATATCCGTAGTGCTGTTCAGGTTTATAGGCGACGGTGATCACTTACTATTGGTATCATGGATGTCATGTGATAACGATGATGATGATAACGAAATGATGTCCGAAGTTCTGTATATAGGCGTATACCATCAGGTGGGCGTCACATTGTTTACTATTATCTTTAAAAAATATATTGTTAGTACTCCCTATGCCATTCATTGAATATTTTACTACTGACTTCAAGATTTGTAATTATATGCTACGAAATATGCTTTGTACTAGTTGTGTACTAAGTAGATCGTCAATTGGTCGCGGGTTCGTACCCGGCATAATATGATCGCAATGTATTGATTTGGGTGTTTTCTATGACTTAAAGAAGAAAGCATGATTTGTCTAGTAGGTACTACCTATATTTAAAGTCCTTAGTCTGGGGTCTATATATATTTATTGGGTATATATTTTATTGAGTCTATATATCAGTGTCGTCTATATATTGAGGATATTTATTTTTATAATTGGCAATATCATGTAATGTGCAAAAAGAACGACGAATAAGAATTTTATCTTTTTTGAAATCGGTTTCGAACTAATTTCATTCTTAATTTTTTTTTAAATTATTGTTTGTGTAATAAAAAGTAATTGGATGTAATCGTTGTGACGTAGTTGTAATGGGAGAGAATGAAACAAAAGTATCAAAATCCATAGAGACATCTTTTATTCGTCAATATTACGCATCTCCATCTTATATATATGTATATCTTGCGTTCTCATTCACACCAATTGTATATTACAACCTCTGTACAATTATTGCGAATAAATACATTGCTTCTCTTTTCCTCTTTACATTATTCTGTATTTCTATCTCAACTAATTCGTTTTCTGTTGCATTCGCGCGGAAAATTTCGGTTCATATTCATGTTATGACAGTTTTTGGATTAAAAAGGTTAGAAATATTGTATTTAAAATTTTCTTTTTAAACAGAACAAAAAACATTAATAATATATTAAATGCATAAATTACCACAGAATGTATAAAATTGCACTCAATCGCACGAAGTAATACAAAAGAAAAGTGAATAATATTTATATATACATATAATGCGTTTACAATTTGTTTTACCTGATTTAAATATTTTAGTAATTTAAAAATTTTGTAAAATCCAATTTAATTATTTCAGAAATATTTGAAGAGATAGTAAGTAAAAATAAATAAATAAAATTTATCTTTGTGATATCATAATAATTTCTCTCACTATTTGTTATGTTATAGAAACAAATTTGTTTATAAACATAAGATTACACCTTTTATATCATATATTACATGGTTTACTGTAATTATAAATGAAGATTTTATTTTATATACATTATAATATTAAGATTTAAAATATATTTTGTTTCAATACCACACTGTAAATCACTGGAAATATAAAAAAAAACTATATAAAACGACATTTAAAAATGACACAATTAGCAAATGCTTTTAATTTTACGTTTTCTTAAAAAAAATATACGGAAATTATTAAATGAATTGCAGCATTTATTGAATTTCTAATATAGAATACAAATAAAAAACCTATCATTAGAACGTAATTTTCTTTAAAATTTACGCGTGTATTCATTGGAATTGTTATTTTAATTCGTGCTGTATTTCAAAATGCTTAGCAAACTTATTTTCACATGTAGTTAAGAATATAAATGCTTTCAGGAATTACTGTTACCATTAAAAAAGTCATAGTAATAAGTAGATCTTTAGAAAATTCAGGCTCTTGAATAATAAAGTCTCTATTGTAAAATAGAAAGAATTAAAGAGCACCAATAAAAAGTTATATTTAAAGAATATATATATATATATATAAAACAATCCTATATATTATATAAGGTGCTACCAAATATTCAATATGTAATACAATATTTACGATAACAAAGGAATTTTATGGCTTACGTTAAAAGATGTATTTTTACAAATTATTTTTCAAAGTGTGCAAGTAAATTCTTTATTTAAGTACTAAATATTTATATTTTTTTATAGTGTCTAACGAAACATAAATTTATGAATGTGGCAACAGCAGTTTATGACGACAATTTACACAAAAAAATGTTGCATTTATTGTGAATATCTTTTGGTACTAAAAAAATAATGACATTAGGGATACGAAATTCGAAGCAGAAAATTTAGTAGCACATTATATATGTATATGACGTATGTCGATAAGAAGATTATCTTGAATTGTGGACTGTTTTAATTACATCATTAGGTATTAATTCCTTTGATTTGGTGAATTACAAAATTGTTACACTACACACCGATTGCACTACTGTACATAATATTTATTGCGCTTTTTTCAATCCATGATTGCTTTAAATTTCACCTAATAAATAAAATTACGATATCCAACGGAAGTCGCCGAACGCAAAGGACTTGGGTGACTGTCCTGCTTGCTGTGGTGCTTCCTTCGTTTAGAAAACAGATTCGTCTCATTTATCTTATAACATTAACTATACATTAATAAAAACATTTTATTTACAATATTAAATATTAATTATATCCTACATTTTTACAAAGGAACAAAATATAAGGGTGCGTGCACAGCAAAAAATATAACAAAACACTATCAAACAGGCAATCGTTATGAACACAACAGTTAGCTACGATATCAGAGTTTACTGTGATTGGTTTGTTTGCAACGAATGGCTGTATTTTTTTAATTTTTAATTATATTTTTGGCTGTGGACGCACTTAACTTGAACTAAGTGACACTACTGACCCCACACTTAACTATGAGTCATTATTTCATATCTGGCATGGAGCATGAGTCTTGACTCCGTATGTTTAATAAATTGTCTATCATAATTGATGTTTTTTGAGCATTTTTTTGGGCCTCATTCGAGGTGGTGGTCGCATCGAACACCTCCTCTGTCGACTTTGGAGCGTAGAATGCTGATATCGGATCGAAGGTCGGGCAAGGGTCGGCTCTCTCGCTGTCTCTGCTCGTTCGAGACCCGAAGTACTCTTCGGAGGCGGTCGGGGCCTCGGCGCTGTCGTGGAACTCGCTTGATGACGTCACGGCGTCGTCTGGCTGCGGCACCTCACGCTGGTACCTCTGGAACGGGTCGAATCGCTGGCTCGGCAGGTACGGCGGGAAGCCGTAGGGCGTTGATCAGGCCGCCGCTAGCTGACGCCACATCGTGTGTCACATGGTCGCCATATAAGGCCACGAGAACGAATTGCCTGACAACAGCATGTCCCTTATAAGGGTTTCGATCGGTGTCTTCCCCACTAAGCGGACGAAGAACAGCTGTTCTATAACTTGTGAGCTGACGGTTCGTAATGAGGGTAGTCGCAGGAGGAGTTTCCCGAAGCGCGTCGGCTGGTTGGGGTACTGACTCCTGCAATATTCTTCTAGCGCGCACTGTGACTTTTCTTGTAAACTTTCTATGTGTGGTACGTCTGATAGGCCGCAGGCATCTGCGAAAAGAAGAGAAAGACGCTTTAAGAAAGTAGTAATCTTTGGGTTTGATTTTCAGGTTCGTTCTATACTATGTTTTTACTCCGTGCGTAGCTTCTAATTTCATTACTTACATTACATTACACTTATATTATATCACGACATTGATAGTTAAAAACTTTCAGGCTATCTAATCGTGAGTAACTCTTTGTGCAAAGTATTACTTAGCATGAAGCCTGTTATACGTTTCTGTTATCAATCATTTCAATTATCGTATAATAGTGTATTCACTGGATATGATTGGAGAAATTAAATTTGTTTTGCAAATTATTAAAAGATGCTATTCAACATCAAAATTCAATTATATTTATATCTATTCAACATAAAAAAAACCATTAGAAAAGTCAAAATTTGGTACTTATTTTATAATAATTTTTAAATTTCAACATAATGACTACGCATGTAAAGGACAACGGCTAAATATAAGGTAAGCCATGACAAGTATGTCCATTCTATAATATAAATAATTCGAAGCACTTATTTTTTGTTTACCAAGGCATAAACGGTAAATCTGTTTTATTGTCGTTACATTTAAGAAGACCAGTTTAAGAAATGCGGGTAAAGAAATTTAATGTCACAGAAAAGTACTTTTGCTACATTAACTTCTTACATTTCCTGCTAATATTAAGAAGAGTGATTAAATAAATGTTATCCAAATACTTATTTATATATTATAAGTATTTGGATAACATTTATTTTACTCTAATAGTATAACATACATATACTATGTATGTTATACTATGAAAAACCGTTCATAACATTTTAGGGTCAACAAAAGCCTGCCTAATTAATTTTTTATATTTTCGATAAAGCGTAGAAAATGAAACAACTTGGATTCTAAACCATTGTAAAAAAGGTTCTAAAGTGAAATATCCGTTACTTAGTTATTAGTTCTTAAGTTCATTATATGTATAATAATAATAACATTGGACAGATATACACATAGTCCCAAGCTAAGCAGAGTTTATGTTATGGGTGACTGATAAAACTGATATCAATCTGATTTTAATACATACGTAATAGACCCAGATACATACAAATGTTTGCAATTACGAATCTAACCCGCAACCATTGGAAAAAGGAGGTGTGTAAACCGCTAAACCACCGAGGTCATCGAAACCTACCATCTTGAAATTTAATACCTCAAAATTTCATTATATTTTGTACATTAAATAACGTAGGTCTTAATTCTTTTTCCTAACAATTGTCTCGTTTTGCTAAGACCAAAAACAACAAGAAGACCCCAAGAATAATCCTTTCCACAATACCAACCCCAAAAATAAAAACGCATAAGCATAATAACCCGTGAATGCTCGCAGGCCGTCTTAATGCGATTAGCCAACCCCCGGTACATTAGACCGATATTGTTGGATACTGGCAACATTAATATTTTTTATTACAGCCAGGAAGAAATGACGCGGTAAACAAAAGGATCATTATGATACCCAGACGCGGGCCTGGTGTGGCCATCTTAATAACATTATTGGCGAATGTCTCAGCTACCACGTTAAGAGGGTAGAGCGGAATATGTTGGAATTTAGGAGCGATATATATATATTAATTTACTAGCTGTGTCCACGGTTTCGCCCGCATAAAATTTATAGCCTGTATTTTATTACTGTAAAGTTTCATTAAATTCCGTTCCGTAGTTTTGCGTGAAAGAGTAACAAACATTCATATATGAATATGAATGTTTGTTACTCTTTCACTTTTCTGTTTATAATATTAGTAGAATATTTATTTAGGACAATAAAAAATATCTCTTTCACTTGTTCTCTCTCTCTTGCGCTCGGCGATCCGCCTTACTTCCGACTATAGAACTAACAAGAAACTCAACTGGTATATTTTTTAGACAAACGATAACAAACAATTCTTAATGAATAGACTACGTGTAGTATTCGTAAGCTAGTGAGGCTGTCACCAACACTAGTTCACTACAAGCACTCCATGTAAGACAATTGACCCAAATTTCCATTCATCAGTAGAGAAGTATCAATTTTAATTCGTGAACGTCGTGACAAGGTGACGCAATCCTGGGAGAACAAGTAATTGCCTCACTTGCTCTAATTGTACGAGCATCTAACTGGTGACAGCTGCTCCGTACGTTGATAATAATTGATACGTATTACGCAGTTTTTAATGTACTTTATACGCTATGTTTTTTTTATGGATGATAATGGAATGTTGCACCCGCCTGTGCTAACGGTTTACACTGGCGGGGCACCAGTGGAGGATGATAAAATGAGCATGAGGTCAGGTCAGTTAGCCCATCGTGACAAATTCACCAAGAATTTATGATGATGGTTTCTAGGGGCAAGCGCATGGAGGTCAACCGTACATGGTACATTGCTTGCAATGGGATCATCAGTCCACATTACTAATAATCCCCATTACCCCTATACGCTATGTTATATGTATGTATGCTATGGAATTTGATGTCATGCAATTTTGGGAAAATTGACAAAACTTACGCTTACCGTGTAAGTTATGTATAGTTATATATTTATATAGTTGATATTGAATTTTAAACATTGATGAAAAAAATTTAATTAGTAATGATACAACATTTTGTTAGTGTATTTACTAGGCAAAGGTCTAACAATTTGTTATCAATGTAACTGTACTACTAGATAGATAAGAATTTAACTAACATTAACAAATTATAAGAATTGGGCCATTGATGCCATAATAAACATATTTATTATATTATTATTATTATTATTATCATTCTTTATTTTTTCTCAGCTTTTGCTGGTTTTCTCCACACTTACGGGCCGAAACCAAGTAAGTGCAGTGTGAGTGTGTGTGTACTTATTGTGTGCCTGGTGTGACTGGTGTTATATCATTTTCATCGATTTCGAGAAATTTTCGGACTGTACGACAGGTATTTAAGATGGCAGCCTTTTAAAGGGTGATTTATTATTATTATTATTATTAAACAACATATTTTAGAGCTTCATACAGTTTCTAATAACTAATAATAATATCTGAAGACAACTCACACAGCAACTGATATATATGTATATATATATATATATTTTGTAAATGCATACATAATATACATAGAAAACACTTAGACCGGTACAAACAATCATAATCATGGATATAAATGTTAGTGCCGCACGAAGAATCGAACCCGTGATCATCGGAAGAAAAGCTGTGCGCTCTACCGCTAGACCACCGAGGTTGTTGCTATTGATTTGATTCTATACAATACGAAATTTAAATTGTTATTGAGTTTAGTTTCCCACAAATTTACAAAACATATCTACTTTTTCCTCATGAAATGTAATTAATGTTATGCTATACACTTTGTACCGCCCTATCGCAATTGGGTTAATTTTTAATAACCTCCAAATAACTGTACTGTCAGTTACAATACAGTTCATGATGGTCATAATGTCTTACACAATTTTAATTGTAGGACACTCCGTAATACCGCCATCTGGCCACTTAATTATTAAATACAAGCTTTGTTAAGTCAATGATGGCTTATTAAATGGTACATTTGAAAAACGTAAACGTTACATTATTGTTACGTCGATGGAAGAGAGTGGAATGGCCATAATTTCAAAAACACAATATTACGAAAAACTGTTTCGGAAATTCGTATTAAATGAATTTTCAGTTTTAGAAATGCAAGAAAATAAAAGAATTTTTGAAGTTACGATAATACTTCATTCTTATTGTCGATATCGTTCTCTCTTGGAACGACTTTGAAATCTAATTTATGTGTATGTGAGAAATATGATTGAAAATTGATTAACAGAAAGTACATATTAAGTCATCCACAGATAATTCATAACTATCCAGATATCTTGTTAGAACCACAGATAAGATAATATCACACCTAGAAATACGCTAAGTAGATTTCGATGTAGTGTGATTTAGAAAAGTTGCAAAAATGTTATAAAAGTTTGTATATCTCCATACTAACCATAAAACCAAATGTGTAGGTATATTTGTTACATTGTTACGACTAAACGGCTGAACGGAACTTAATGAAATTTGACAAGAAGTTAGATTGTCTGTATTTATGTTAAAAATTTAGACAAAGTCACGGGTGGCCGTTAGTACTACTATAACAGAAACAATATTATGATTGTAATCCAAGATATTGTAGCTGATTATAGCTAAACTAGTTAATGCAACACTAACTTTTGGAAAAGTTAAATATAGAGACCCATCTTAATAATTAATATTGCTGTCTTTTTTATTCTATAGTCCAATCTTACACCGTCTACCACTTTCTGTTTTCTTTCCTTTACCTAAAGGTTGTTTGGAAGAGTTTCCTTATGAGACAAGATTGCGCTTTGTATTTACGTACTTAGGTACCTTATGACTTCCATTTATGTTATTTGGAATTGAAATGGAATTGAAATTTTATTGAATAAAATGTGGTCCGTTGGGAGTACAATAAAGAGTAAATAAATAAATAAGAAATCCCTATGCAATAGTATAAGACAAATCTTTAGGGGCAAGTGGTGTTAACCCCACTGTGATCGAAAGGTGTATGACATCGGTCTTTCAGACCAAAGATCATGCACAGACAGCCAATAGCAATTAACCCTGCGCTCGCCGGCCAACGTAACAATGTAATATAGTTTAATTGAAACGACCCCGAAGCTGCTGGGTAAACAACGAATGGTAATAATTGACGGTTAGTAGCTACGTCTATGATAATTATCGTTATTGTATTTATATTTGAGAGTTTAGCACACCGCTTTACATCCGATGGGCGTAGGATCGGTTCCTAAAACGGTACAAACGTTTCTATTCATGAATCGTGGTTTTTAAAGATCTCTATCTTCTCTACAAGAAACATATTTTTAAGGATTTTGGTTAAATATAAATAAAGAAAATGGGTTGTAACGGGTTGAAAGGGGAGATAAAAGGTTGTATGAAAGAAATGTAATTTTTAAAGTTGGAACTTGATATTTTTTTAGGCTGTTGATTGAGT